ATATTAATATTTAAAACGATTCTATTTTTTCACAAAGTTGAGACATTGTGGTCTGTCTAGTTTCTATTCTATTCTGTTTATGTTAGCATTGTTTCAAAAAAACATTTTTCATGTCATTAAGAAAGCTTGGTAAAGATAATTAAAAAAAAAAATAGAAGCACAATATCCCATTGTTTGAGAAAACCATTTTTTACTTAGTTTTTCCATTGTTCCACATTTAGGGTTTCCTTTTTCCAAGTTTTCTTTAAACAATGCTGTGATGAATATTTTTGTGCATACATGTTTGACCTTGTTTCACAATAGCTCCTGAGAATTATTATAGTAACTACATTTCTTGAGTGGTTACCTTTTCCATACATTAACTGAACCATTACCACACTGAATCCTGGTAACAATGCTATCAATATACAAAGTAGATATTACCATTCCCATTTCACGGGTGACAGAACTGAAGCACAAAGCATAGCGTACTCAATGTTCTCAAAACTGTGAGAGTGGGCCCCAAATTTAACCCAGGCAGTGAGACTCCCAAGCCCAAGCTCTCAAGCATGATTTTCTTAAGGCTCATGATACCTTTAGCAAATGACTTTCCACAAAGGTTGTTCCAATAAGAATGTCCATCACTCATTTCTTCTTCTTTCAAATGCTTGGTAGGCATTTGCATTTCAGTTGCTCTGAGCCATCTCTTCATGTAGTTTGCCCACCTATCAGTGAAGGTTACTATGGACCACTAATTAGCCCAGCTGATCTTCCCAGCAGCAAAGAGGTGATGTTTCCCTCAGAATCTGGCCACATTCATCCCACTCTGATGTGAGACTGACCTGAGCAAACACAAATGCTGTAAAATAATGCTTTTATACTGGGAGACACAGAGCCTTCTAGGCCTGTTGTTCTGTGCGCAGTCTAGAGGAGACTTCATCTAGAAGCTGGCACCATATGTAATTTGCATGTTCAGGAGTTATAATTACATGAGAAGTGCTTTCTTTGTATATGTGTGCATGCTCGGTCGCTTCAGTCGTGTCCAACTCATTGCGACCCAATGGACTGTAGCCCATCAGGCTCCTCTGTCCACGGGATTCTCCAGGCAAGAATAACAGAGTGGGTTGCCATATCTGTCCTCCAGGGGATCTTCCCCGCCAAGGGATTGTCTCCTGCATCTCCTGCATTGCAGGCGGACTCTTTACCCGTGAGCCACTGGGGAAGCCCCTCTTTGTACATGACATGCTTATTCATGCATAATCAGTATAATTTTTAAAAAAACAGGTTAATTTCAAACAAAATAAAATCAAGTTTGCTATAATTCAAGTATCAAAGTAATACAAAGAAAATTCATTGATTTTTTAAAAAAAAAACGCCAATATCATAAAAGTTCTGCAACTGTAGGTAGCAAAATGGGCATAAACAATCTCCTTTTGGAAGACTGAGGACACCTCGGGGAAGCATCTGAAATGTATTTTCTTAACACAGTCATCTCAAAGCAAATTTTCAGACTTTTTGGTCTGCTGGATTATTTTTTTAAAAGGGTCAGTGATTACTTGTATTATAATAGGTTCCTTTTCTTTTTTAATTGACTCCCATATATGTCAATCAAAACACTTTGTGCATGCAGTTACAGTTTTCAGAATGGGTGCTTGGAAGGGGCAACATGAAAGTAACTGAAAAAAAAAAAAAAAACCTTGGCAAACCAGAAAGAATTAGACTTCAAGTTCTAGTTTTTTGTGCTTGCAGTCTACGAGGAATTTGCAGAATTTTCTCTTCCTGAACTGAACTTCTCCTTCCGTCCTTCATTTCCCAGGTCAGCTTAAATCCTGGCTCTTACCTGAGGCCTCCCCTCAAATAAAAACTACTTCTTCACAATATGATAACATGTATAGACAGTCCAGTCAGATTGCTCATTTGATCACTTAACCAGAGTCCATTTTACAATTTTACTTCAATGTGTCCTGAGCTTTTGGTTTTCACTACTTCCAGTGTCAAGGGCACAAGGGTTAAAAGCTATACTTCTTTTTATCCCTTTTGTAGCAGGACGGTGCTATGCACATAGAAGTTGATTAGAGACTTGCTCTTGACACCCGGATCCCTTCCTCCAAAGCTTGTTTTAGTGCCATTACAGTTGACCTTCAGTAAGAATATGAAATTAAATATGCAGACAGCACACCCCCTAGAAAACATGCTCACCAGCAGAGGGCGTAAGAATATGCATGGGTCTTGGAGTAAAATTTGCATCCTGGCCCAGCCTCTTTTTTTTTTTTTTTTTATTAGTTGGAGGCTAATTACTTTGCAATATTGTAGTGGTTTTTGTCATACATTGACATGAATCAGCCATGGATTTACATGTATTCCCCATCCCGATCCTCCCTCCCACCTCCCTCTCCACCCAGTTCCTCTGGGCTCTTTAAGAGCTACTGACCTTGGGCTAATTGTTTAATTTTTTTGAGCCTCATTTGCAAACTATTGATGATAACCCCTCTCGCCCCATTGCAGCATGGTCATAAGCATATGAATTAGAAATATTCTGTGGCTAGCAATAGTAAAGTAAGTAAGTGTTAGTTGCCCAGTCATGTCCAACTCCTTGCGACCCCATGAACTGTAGCCCACCAGGCTCCTCTCTCCGTGGGATTCTCCAAGCAAGAATACTGCAGTGGGTAACCAGTCCATTTTCCAAGGGTCCTCCTGACCCAGGGATTGAACCCCGGTCTCTCACATTGCAGGCAGATTCTTAACCATCTGAGCCACCAGGGAAGCCCAGCACATAGTAGGTGAACAATAAATTGTATCTCTCCTGATCGCCATAAGATCACAGAACCAGTTAATTCTTGTTTGATGCCTACTAAATAATTGATATTAGTTTGCATATTTAACCCTTAAAATAGCCTAAGTGGGCAAATAAATGAATATTGGTGAAAAAATTTAATACCCAATGCTGGCAAGAGTGAGGAAGCAGGTTGTAGCAATTTTTCTGGATAGAAAGCCTTAAAACATGATCTGGCCCTTGCCCCAGCATCTATTTATCCTAAGAAAATAATACTGGATAAGTAGCAAGATTTAGAAAAATAGAGGATGTCATCATCAATCTTTATAACAGCAAAAGGGAATATTTAGGGAAATACCCTAAATATTCAATGTAGGGTACAGGTTTAATAATTATAGTTTCTCCATCAAATTGAACACTGTGCAGTTAGTAAAATGATGCTATATTAAAAAAATAAATAAAATGATGCTATAGAAAAATATTCTAAAAAGGAAGATAATTGAAACACATCAAGAAAAGATCACAAGACACAAACAGCCAGCTTTAACTTGTTTAATAAACACAGGACAGAAATCAAAATTGTAATGGTTATTTCCATATGAGATGAGATTGTTAATGACGCTTCCCCCCCTACTTTTCTTTGCTTATCTTATTCTGTAAATGTTCTGCAATTAATATATATCACTTTTGTGATTTAAAAAGTTTTTCTTTTATATGTGCAGTGGAGGTGGTTTTTTTAAACACTGCTTGCCAGCACAACCAGAACAGTGGTCAAGTAAATTAAGTTAGTTGTAATAGAGTAACTTGGGAGTTTCAAGAAGTTAAACAGAGTAATTAAAATCCTAATGAAATTACACAGAGCTGGTCACTTAGCTGCAATAAGGCTGCTCTAGACTCTTGGTTCCACTTTTTCAAAAGGCCTAAAAATGGCATAAAATTAAAAATGAACAATTGTTCATGTAAAGGGCCATGTGCCAAGTTTGGCCTAAGCCACTGTAACCTGAACTCCTCCTCCTCCCATATCGCCTCCTCCAGGCTGGCTGCATGTATCTGGAAGGGTGTATTTGCTCTGCATTACTCAATTTACTCTCCTGAACTTGAAATGGAGTGGAATTTCAATGTAGAGTTACCCATTAGCTTCAAGGCTAAATTTAAACCTTTAATTAAATTAATCACTTGATCTTAAACACATTGCTTCTCCCTCAGGAAAGTGTAGAGAGGTTTCTTAGATGTCAGAGAACTCAAGTCAGTGTGACAACTGTTCCTACTGCCTTTGATAAGTCACCCAAACCGCAGAGGGAAATCTGCAGGCATTTTCAGATGGTTCACGGTAAAGCCCCCTCACCCCAGAACAGAAGGTTGTTGGCGGTGGGGCTGGGGTACAGCATACTGCGACCCCTCCCAGATCCTCGTTACAGCTCTGGAAGGGTCACTGCATCCTTGTACAGGTACTTATTTAATAGAAGACACTGGAAGCTCTAAACATCTGTTTGGGGTTCTTGTGCACCCCGGGGTGTGTATTTATAACAGGAGCTGCGTCCTCCGCCTGCAAATGAATGAGACTCAAACTCAACGGTCAGCGACCGCTTGCTGGTGGGACTGTCCACATAAAGGGGTGTGGCCCTACGAGTGTAACTATTAATAAGGACTTCGGGGCCCAAGAAGGGCAGCGCGGGATCCAGTTAACAAGTTCGCGGGCCAAATCGCTTCAATTACAGTGACTCGTCCCGCAGACCCACAACCCTCCCGGGACCACATCCTCATGCGTGACTCGGGGCTCTGCTCGCGCCCCGCAATTCCCAGCCCAAGCACGACGGGGAAGCGTGCTCGCCTCCCGCACCTGGGCGCGCGCCCTGGCAGGGAGCCACCAACTCTCCCCGCAGTCAGCTCGGACTACCTGGACCGTCAGGCCGATCCCCGCCCCGCCACCCGCTCGGTTTTCCCTTCCTCCTCCTCTTCCTCCTCCGCTGGCCCCCCGCCTCCCGCCGGCTGCTTGCGCGGCTGCCGCCTGCGGCTTTGTTTTCCTCCCAGGTTTCACCCCCCACACGTGATACTGTTTTTTTTTTTTTTTTTTGCACAGAGCGTTTCGCAGAGCGAGCGCGGGGCGCGCGCACCTATAAATACCGACCCGGGGGCCGGGGAGCCGGAGATCGCGGGGTCCCGGAGGGCCCAGCACCAATCCCGCAGGCGGGCGGGCAGACGGCCAGCGAGCCAGCCAGCAGCCGCGCGCGTGGGCCGGGGCGGCGNGCCACGCGACCGTGCTCGGCCCCGGGGCTGCCCGGGGGTTCGCGAGCCCCATGGGCGCCGGCCGGGCGTCGGGGGAGCAGTGGCAGCCGCTCCGGCACTCGCCTTTCGCCGCGGGCGTTCAGCTGCAGCCGCCAGACGGGCCCGGGGACGCCGGGCCGGAGGAGCTGGAGGAGGACGATGCATTTACCGGAGTGCACGTGCCGGCGGCCGCCTTCCTGAGCTCCGGGACCCCCGGGGGCGGGAGCGGCAGTCGGGGCCGCCTCAACTCGTTCACTCAGGGAATCCTACCCATCGCCTTCTCCAGGCAGACCTCGCAGAACTACTGTTCGCTGGAGCAGGCGGGTCCGGGGAGCGGCTCCAGCGCCTTCGAGCAGCTGCAGAGGTCCCGGTGAGTAGCCAGGACGCGACGCGCGCCTCTCCTAACCCCGCCCGGCCGGCGCTCTGCTGCGGGACACCGGGCGCTCCCACTTCCCGCGCCCTGCCGGATCCCTGGGCTTCTGGCGCGAATTCCAAACCGCCAGGGCACGCGGAAGAAGGAAGGTCTCTGGGGAGCGTGTGTGTGTGTTCACACGTATGTGCACGAGCCCGGCACTCACCGAGAAGAAGCACCGTGCTCATGCAAGTGGGGTTGGAGTTAGAGGTTGCGGGAGCCCACCAAAAAAAAGTGGCATCAAAACCTCTCATTGCCAGGAAGAGAGCACGAGCTTTCAGAAACCCGGGCCGGACCCGGAGAAGCACTCTCCTCGCGCCCGGCAAGACTGGGCGGGACGTAGAGTCCAGCAGTGGGTCCGGCAGCCGGCCGAGCGGCGCGTGTGAGCCTTAACTTGTCGCAGGCACGCCGCCGCAAATGCCTTCTGAGAAGTTCTGCTTGCGCTCCAAGTATTCCAGTGTCCCAGGAGCACTTGGCATTTTCCTTTTGCTTTCCTAAGAAAAGGAAAGTCCTTCTTATGTGCCCTTGAAGGCCTTGAGGGTGGGGGACAGAGAGGAAGTAGGGCTTGAGAATTCTTTTTTTCCATCCCAACGTGAATTCCCTGAAATGAGTGAAAAGTTTTTCATCTTTCAAAAGGTTGTGTTTGGTAACTTAAGTCATCTCCAGGTCTCAAGCATCTTAGCAAAACCATGAAATGCTGGACACTCGCCCATTCAGGAAATGGCTAGAGCTTGTTCCAGGCACCCTGGGCAGTTCTGTCTGCATCAGGCGGGTGGGATGGGGGTAGAACAGGAGTGAGCAAACGGGAGGGAGTGCAGGCCTGATTCCTGGGAGGGAACGTCCAGGATAGTTAGTTAGGAAGGCCTCCTATGGCTCAGTTATGTCAGCTCCCTGGGGCCTCAGTTTCCCATTCTGGGATGGGAACTTGCCAGCCTGTTGCAGGCCTGGAGATGAGGAAGGAGAACCTTTTCTGTTACAGCCTCTCTCCTGTGATGCTTCTCTGAACACTTAGGCTTTTTCTGGTCTATTAAGAAGGTGGTCTGTTGGAAAACTTAACTTCCTCTCCCAATGGACAGATGGTGATGAATGGACCAGGCTCCTTCCAAATTTTGTCCAGAGTCTCTTTCCTCCCAAGTGTTGAAATCAGGACCCTGTTTGGTGTGCAGCATCCTAGTTGAGTGCACACGTCTGCAGACAGGGGTGTGGACCTGTCAGACAGCCTTGTGATTTCCCCGGGTGATTAGTGATGCTGGGCACAGGTGACCATCTGGGCCTGAGTTTCTTGTCAGGGCTCACATCTCCCCATAGCATAGCAGGCCAGTGGGCAGGAGGGGAGGGGGATCCCTTCCTTTCTGGGCGAGTGGCTCAGACTCAGCAGTTTCCCAGTGGCTTGACATCATGCACTGGCTCCTAATGACTCTGTAGTTTGAGCCTGAGCCCAGCTTGTCCAGTGGGTCAGGGCAGGAGTGGTAATAAACATAGGTATTATTCTAAGCCATGTGCCAGACTAGCCTGTGTCTCATGCTTGACAGATGTGTTCCCCTGCTCGCAACAGCTGGAGATCAAATGACCTCACACTTCATCTCTAAGAATCTCCTTTAGACGGTCTTGTGTGTTAATATTTCTGATCCTCCAAATAGCCCGATTTAACCGCTGATCCTATAAAGATGAACCCCATGGATGTTTTATTGATCCCCTCCCCCAACACACACTTTAAGATGAGTGAGTCAGTGTGATGCTTCCTTACTTGACAGTCGCGTTCATCTTATGACTTTGGAATTATCCGTATCTGGCAACTTGACAGGCTTTTTAAAAAATTACAGCTGTCAACAGAATCCATGTCAAATTTAATGTGCAGAGAGGAAATAAATCGGTGAGATTGAGATTGAAGAAAGGCCTTGAAGAGCGAGCGTGGTCTCTTCTCATGGCCAGAAACTTGAAATCTCCTAGGACACTTTGTTTCCTACACTGAACTGCTTACAGGAGTTTTGTCAGAAGTGTGTTGTTTTTCTGATTGCTAGAGAGAACTTTCACATGCTTAGATGAATTGTGATGTGTAGTATAGACTTATTTGAATCAGACCCAGGGCCAACTTGAAGAACTCCGGGCAGTTTAAAGAATGTCATTTACTTTCCTGGTGTGCCTCGCTTTAAGAAACAGTGCTTGCCTGGGTGGTTCCATATACTATTTCATGGATGTTCTCCTGGGGTGTCATTTTTAAATCATATATTTTCCTTGGATTTGTTTCTTGCAATTTAAAGAATTCCAAACAACCTTGCTGCTCAAAAGTGAGTTCTTGGACCTTCACAAACCCTCAGGTCCCATTCTGGATTACTTGAGTACAAATTTGCATTTTAACAAGATCCCCAGATGATTCATATACAAGTGAAAATTTGGGAAAAGCTGCCATAGTTCATCTGAGATCTGCCTCTTTTTTTCCCCATGAACTTGGAATTTCACACATTCAGTTTGTTATGGGTTTGTAAAAATCAGACTCTCCTGATCCAAAATCTTATTTTTTTTGTTACTTTCATCTGGACACTTGTAAAACTAATCACATTTATGACTTGTATTTCCAAATCTTGAAATATGGCAGGAAAATGTGTGTGCCCAGACCTCGGCACAGATGTGTTGATGGATTGATGACACCGATCCCTGTACTCTGGGCTGGAGAGTTGATATTTATCACAGTGAATTCTCACAGCCTCCCTATGTGTAGATTCTTTCTCAGACCCAGTGTTGGCCATGATAGGACCCCACATCTTTGAGATCCAAACCTGACATCTCTCTTTCTTTCTTCTTGTTTTTTTTTGTTTTTTGTTTTTTAAATATATATTTATTTGCTTGCACTGGGCCCCAGCTGTGGCGTGCAGGACCCTCGATCTTTGTTGCGGCATGCAGAATCCTTTTAATTCCAGCATGTGGAATCTGTAGTTGTGGCATGTGAACTCTTAGCTGCGGCAGGTGGGATCTAGTTCCCTGACCAGGGATCGAACCAGGCCCCCTGCTTTGGGAGCGCAGAGTCTCAGCCACTGGACCACCAGGAAAGTCCTGAACTTGATGCCTTTCCTCTGCCCCTGCGCGGATCACTGTGCCGGGCATGCACAGGCCCAAGGAGAATTTGGGAGCTATGGACCCTACCAGATGTTTGTCCAGGACACACAGCAGGCCAGGGGTGCTTGTGTGATTCTGTACACCCTCTCCGAGTCATCCTCCCCACATTTAGCCTTGCTGTTCGGGGTCCCCGGCTTTACTGACACTTTACCTGTCTCCACTGAAGTGCGTAGAGAACCCAGGATCACAGGCCTCATGGATGGGGCTCCAGGGATGGGAAGCCAGTGTGCTGGGGTTTATGCTGGGTTTGCTCTGTGGCTAGGTGTCAGAAGGGGGAAGCCAGAAAAATGCCTTCTAGCTTGACACCCTGTTGTGTTCTCTGCCCAAGGAAGGCGTTAATAGGTAAAAGGGAGTGTGTTTCAAGGCTTTCTTTCACTTTAAAAGTTTCCCCTTAGGTAGAAGCTGGCAGCAGTCCTGGGTTCTTCCACTTCCTGGTGCTGCTGAATTGCAGAATGGGGCCCAGGTGAACACGTGTGCACCATGGGGCCTGATGAAGGGGTGCATGGGAACCAGGGTATTCACTTCAAACAAGGTGGGGGTTTTGCTTCTTAGAGCACCTCTGTTAGCAGTTGCCTTGTGGAGACTCCGGTCTTAGATGGAAAAAGCCCGTGGTGCAGAAGAGCCCCAAGCCTTGGATTCCAATCCCCCCACTTCGTCACCCCCCTGCATTAGGACTTTGTGACACTGTGTTTTAGCTGTAAGCCACCTGATCTTTCTGGATTTTAGCAGTAAGCGAGCCCGAGTTATTGTTGAGCCATCTTTCCAGTAATGTGCATTGTGGATGCCAGGTACAGCCCCGGGCTGGTCCAGGCCTTGGTCAGGATGCTCCCTTGTGCCTCCTCCCAGGGCCTGAAACAAGAGCCCAGGGTTCACCTGCCGTCCTCTTCCTTACACTCACCAGGTTGTCAGGTTGTGAGTGAATTCGGAAGGGGAAGTGCTTTGGAAGCCTGCCCACTGCTGACAAGTGCTCAGGGAGGCAGCAAGTTCAAGTGTGATCCTTTGTCCTCCAGGGAGGGTGGGGAAGCCACAAGCTGGCTATGCACCGTGTCCCCATAGCCACCCTGGGGAGCCCCACCTGCCTGGACGTTTTTCCCTGGGAAGGAGAGTTATTAGGTAGGAATAGGGCGAAGGGCAGGTGGCCTTTGAACGCACTGGGAAGGAGCGATAGGTGAGGCTGGATGAGGTGACAGCGTGTTGGTCAGGAATGCCAAGCCGGTACCCTGTCCCCCTGGGCTCAGAGCCAGTCCCTGCCCTGGCTGGTAACCACGGGCAGGTGACTTCACCTCCCCGCCTCAGTTTTCTTCTGGGATAAAAGCACTGGGACAGTGGAGTGGTGTGGTTTTCCAGGCTAGTGCCCTGTGACCTGCCTCGGAGGCCGGGCATAATGCCTGGGGACAAGTGGATAACTGAACCTCAGCGTCAGATGAAGAGGGGGAGCTAAGTTTATCCCAGGTGACTCCGGTTGGCAGGGCGTGTGCTAATGGATGCAGGAATGGGTTTCCCCGGGTGGCAGGGGGGGTCAGCTGTGCTCCTCTGGCTGCAGAGGTGTCACAGCTGGCCTGCCTGCTCCATCCAGGCTGGAAGCCACAGCCACTGAGGCGGTCCAGCCCTGCCTCTAGGAGCCCCGTCACAGAAGTGATCCGTGGTCCCCTCCTCTGGGGAAGATGGACCAAAAGGCCATCATGTTTACACAGTGCTTTAGCAGATGTCGATTTCAGGTCCCAACCATGTGGAGGAGCAGGAATTCAGGGTCACAGAGTGAACAGAGGGTGACCCTAGGAGCTGTGTTTTATGTCATGGAGGAAATTCTAGTTTGGGGACCTAATGCCTTGTATGATTAATTC